CTCGCTGTGTTTGTGTTTTTTACACCTTGATCCAACAGCTGAAATGTCTCCTCAGCCTTCATTAGTGTCTACAGGAGCGACTCATCACTAAATCAGACAAATCAGCCATGTTCATGATCGAAAACATGCAGGAAACGTGCTGGAAGCAGACCCCAGCTCCACCCTGTCTGCTCCTCTCCATGGCTCCCTCCACCATCAGGGACCGGACCGGCTACTCTGAAGCTACAAGTGCGGTATTCTGAAGCCGGTGGGGCCTGAGTGACTTTTCATCAACCCTGTAAATAGTTGTTTTAGCACATACTGGCTAAAGAAAATGATTTACAAATTGGCTTTAACACAGATGCGTCAACGTGAAACACAAGGAGCTGATTTAACAAATTAAACACTTACTGGCAACACATGGCTGTTTCTTATCTGCATCCTTGGAGTGCTTTATCTTTTGTTTCTGACACGTAGACTGGTTAAAAGCCATGAAATGTGTTTGAAGTTTAATCCCACAGCTTGTTATTTGTTTCAGCTGAAACCTGAGAAACGGTGGGTGATTCAAATACAAATTAAACTGGATTTCATAGAAATTCTGTATTTTCAGCAAAAAACATCCCAATAATGCAACTGAAAGATGAAGTTTATATGAGGGGGTTAAACGTCGTCTGACAATAACCCGCTGAAGGGTGGTATTCTCCACCAGTGGCCTTGGGCCTGCAGACGATCACCTTCACATTAAAACGGATGATTCACTCTCAGAGCAGGAATAAGATTGTGTTTAGTAAAAGTTTCAGGATTAAAGCCGATTCTTTGTTTCTATTGAAGCTTTGACCTAGTCTTCAAACTCCTTCGCTGTCACACACTGTGGGAGAAAAACTCCCCTCCGCTGCTCATCCTGCAGCTGCCAACATCTCACATGGAGCAGAGTCAAACTAGCTGGTGAATGTTAGGCTAAAGACCTGAGCGGCTGCTTTTAGACCTCTTCACCCTCACCGACAGCGAAGCTCGCTCCCTATTCAGCAGAGAAAAGGTAAAAAGAAGAGATCAAAGTCAAGTAAAGATGAAATCATTTACAGGACAGTTCCCGGCCGTTAGCCAGATTACACAAAAACGCTCAAGGTCGAGTCAATTTCCCATCTGCAGAAATCTCCCTGCCTCCTTAAATCCAGGAGGAAACGGATGCTTGGAGGAAAGAAGTCATACTTTACCGTCAGATCTAATAATAAATAAATTAAAAGCTTTTTTGCAACCGAAACCCAACCTGATGCTCGTTCAGTCAATCTAATGTGGTCTCTGTCACATCTGTGAAGCTTTGGGAGTGTTGGTACCAAATGACCAACAACAGCAGATTCTAATGACTCTAAAAGCAGCAGTTATGTTATTGCCATGCAACATAAAAAAATATTTATACTAAGCAGACATGCAGACAGCACCTGCATGCTAAAGCAGCAATCTGGAGTTTTCCCCTTTTAAGAATTACGTTGTGTCTTTTAGCATTCTGTAAAAGTTTTAATCTTACCCTAAATGTAGGCAATATATCAATGTATTTATTACTTTTATTTATTTATTTTGCTAAACTCCATACCCTAGAGCCCCATGCAACCTGAAAATAGCACAGTTCAGCATTAGCCAATAGCGTTAGACATCCTCTTACGTACAAATGTCGGGGCTCCAGGCGCTAACTCCAGCTGTAATCACAGACTAGGAAGAGGTTCTTAAGGTGCAATACACATTTTCCACCTCTAGATGGAGCCTTCTGAGAAGGCGGAAACAAAAGAGCTGCTCTCTAATGATTGGTTCCAGTTTAATGCCCCACCCCCTTTGTATAAACAAGCGGGACTTTTTCCTGGAAAAAGATAAAATACACCTCTGACGTTTGTGGACGTTTGCAAAGTCGTGAAGCTCTAAATGCAGACTCCGATGTTGAGGGCTGATAACGATCCGACCTGATGACTGACTTTGGCCAAACGAACCCGAAAAGAAGAAAATGTTTTTATTATTACTGATTTAGCTGATGGTTTATTACTCGATTCTAATCAAGTGCTGCTGCTTGTTCCGTTAATAATTTTTAGAAAAGCATCCCAAATGATCGATGAATGCACCGTTACCAGAGATAAATAAATTAACCAACTAGGGCTGCACGATATTAGGAAAACCTGCGATGTGCGGTAACAGGGATTAATATTGCGATAACAATATGACTTGCAATAAATAAAATAATTCACTCAAGAACAAAAAAGTCAAAAACAAAGAAATTAAAAAATAAAACATATACAAATAATAAAAAATGGCAAAAGCAAAAATGTGATCAAAAGATGTGAGGAAATGGAAAAAGAAAATGACCAAGAAAAGGCGATCAGTGAATCCCAGGAATAGCAGGATCTGCAGAAAGAGATGAACGAAGTTAACGCAGGTGTTCGCTAGCCATCCAAACCCATCCGCCTAGAGGGCGGGCATTAAATATAAGAACCCGCCCGATTGGCCAAATGAATGAAGAGCTCTATTTGATTTGTCAAAAACTTCATGCTTCAGTTTGACTGACAAAATGCATAATGTGTAGCAAACATCTGAGCTGACCATTCGTTGGGATTTTTTCTGTTCTTTGCGATAAGCGTATTATGCAAGGCGATATCGCGACGATACATTTGCGATATTTAGTTTTTTGATTTATTTAAGAAAAAACATGATTGGTTGTGTGTGTGTGTGTGTGTGTGTGTGTGTGTGTGTGTGTGTGTGTGTGTGTGTGTGTGTGTGTGTGTGTGTGTGATGGTAACCCAGAGTTTTGCTTCACTTTTATTTTACAGAAAAAAGCCGTTAAGTATCAAACTAATCGACAAAGAAATGAAGGACAATATTTGATTGCTGCAATTAGCAAAAATATAGAAAACAGAGATATTTTACTGGGCAGCATTGACACAAGTGGGCTAATTCACTATTATTAAAGCAATGAGTGCTGGTCCCACAACAAGCAAATATTTAGTTAGAATAAACATGGAAATTCTGTTTGCTTTTCACGTTGGAGTTTTGGATCCGAGAAAACGGGGCGGAAAAAACAAGTCCAGAGAGTAAAAAGAGAGAAAATAAAACTAAATGAAAACAGCATGAAAAAATAACACATAATGAAAACGCAGCTTCAGTTTCACCCACATTCATTACACAACCATCTCACAGAGCGCTGCAAATCAAACAGAACGATGCGTTTTTTAAGGTGCTGCAGCGAAAAAGGAGTAAAGGTGAGGCGATCGGGCAAAGCAGGAAAGAAAGGTGAGAGACAGATGATTACATCACAGGGTGGAGGTTAAGAAGTTCCCACAAATAAAACAACCTTTCCACCCGCACATGTTCTGTAACTGATAATATTCCTATTTTCAATTTAAAAAATAACACTTTTATCATTCATCTCTTATTCTATTCAGCAGCTGTTTGGCAGAATTTGGACTGAACATAGAAATGCTTTTAACATCTTTAATGGCGTGTTTCACAAATGTGGCTGAACTTGATTTCCTGTGAAAACGACGCCTATCAGAAGGTCTGCACCTCAGCGGGGCTTCGTGCTTTGTAATCGCCTCGTTCTGAGAAAAGAAATTTAACTGATGATCCAGGAAATGATCAAACTTTAGCACCGACCCACTGAGTCATAGACCCATCAATTTTCCCCAATTATCTTTAGAAAAAAGCACCACAGCTAGAGCAGAATAACATCTGCTGTCAAAAGGACCAAATATCAGCCGAGATGTCAGCGCAGAGAAAATAGCTTTGAACTGCAAAACGACGACCATTTCAATCTAAGCCCTGAGATCAGAAAATCTCTTATTAATCACTATTTCAGCTCCAATGAGAATTTTCACATTTATTAATAATACAAGATTAGATCAATAATAAAAGAATCTCAAATTGAAAAAAAATCACTGAAAAGATGTGTTTTAAGACTGATCTTAGCAAATTATGTTTTTTCCTGAAACTTCATAATTTTAATTAATGGGACTTTTAACCAGCAACACTATTTAATTTACTGTAATTTATCCAAAATTACAAGAGTTCAGATTCTTCTTTACCTGCAAATGTATAAAAGTTTTATTACAAGGCTAAAAATAACTTAAACTATATAGTGTGATAATGTAAAAACACACAAAAGAATACTGGGGATGGAAATCGGCCCAGATTCAGAATTAGGCAATCTGTAGCTCATAAGTCCGTTTTAACTTTTTACATTTTAAATAATAATAATAATAATAATTATTATTATTATTATTATTATTATTATTATTATTATTATTATTATTATTATATGAAAAAAGCATTTTCCAAGAACTATTTAAAATTAATAACTGACTTTTAAGTCAGTGATTTCAACAGAAATTGACTAAATTCTGATTTAAGACTGAGAAACCTGCAGCAGTCGAAACCAGATCTGGTGTTTTTCTATAGCTACAAAAAAAAAATCAATTTCACCAACTTTCAGGTGAAAACTCTAAAATTAGCAACTGTTCGAGGCATTACTTACCTTTTTATAACTCTTTTGGTTAATCGGAAAGTCCTAACTGTATTAAACAGATAAATGTGATCAAAATGACCGTAAAACAGGGAAAATGTCAGACACATCATAATAAACGTATTTAAGTCACCCGTTTCCATTTTCTGCAGGAATTAATTATCATTTAAGTCCGTAAATATTGAAATTACCATTAAACTCTTGAATTGGCACTGAGAGGAGTAAATAGTTGATAACAGAACATCTGGCTTGATAGCAGCTGGCTGTTTACACATAAGAGCTTTTGAAGTCTTCACATTGTCTCAATGTAAAATCCAGACTCTCAAAACACATTAGAGACGTTTTAATTATGATCACAAGCTGAACTGGTGGGATAAACTAGATTTATGGGGTTATTCGTTGCATTTATGCCCTTAAAAGACTGTTTAAAACAAGCTCACGTATGTTTAAAGGCTGATTATTTAATTGATGTTTACTGAGAATAAAAAATTAACCTCTGACACGGGTAGTTAGTGGAGTTCACCTGCCACCTGTTAAACGGATCTGATCAGTTCCAGGCCTTCGGCATTGATCAGCTCAGACTCTCCGCAGCGCTCTCGCTCCTCCGGGAGGGATTTAGACCGTTACCTGTTGCTCCACAAGCACCAGCTGGGCACAAAGTTGTCAGTCTGACCCCTCCGAGTCCCGCCGCAGGGCTGTCAAAGCCCGGAGGGACGGCGCATGAGTCCTGCGGTTCTGGTCCGCCTAGTGTCCAAACAGCGAGTCCCTTCAGCCCGCCACACTTCAGCCTTTAGAGCCCCGCAAGTTTCAGCTCACAAGCTAACGAGCAGCTGCGTTTAGGGAAACAAAAAGTAAACAAGCTGGAGGAAGTTAGCTACACAGCTTCCGGTTTATTCCTTCAAAATAAAATTAAAATAAGCTACTAAAACAATTAAACGGAGAAAACAAGTTTGGACGGAAGCCCTAAAAGGACATTCCCATGTACCCGTTTTCTTGAGATAGGTTAAAAATAGTTTTTCATTGCAAAGAGAAAACGTTTTCATCTTCTATAATTTCTTAACCCTTCATTGTCTGATTATTGGGCGCTTTCCCGCCACTCAGATGAAAAATAAATTATGTCATCATTATGACTTAGTATCTCATATTTATGACTAGTGATCTCACCACTATGACTCAGTTTCTCACCTTTATGACTAGCAATCTAATATTTATGACTAGCGATCTAATCTTTATGACTCGTGATCTCACCACTATGACTTAGTATATCACCACTATGATTTAGTATCTCACCATTATGACTTAGTATCTCATATTTATGACTAGTGATCTTACCACTATGACTTAGTATCTCACCATTATGACTTAGTATCTCATATTTATGACTAGTGATCTTACCACTGTGACTTAGTATCTCACCATTATGACTAGCGATCTAATATTTATGACTAGCAATCTAATATTTATGACTAGCGATCTCACCACTATGACTTAGTATATCACCACTATGATTTAGTATCTCACCATTACGACTTGCAATCTCAACACTATGACTTAGTATCTCACCATTATGACTAGCGATCTAATATTTATGACTAGCGATCTAATATTTATGACTCATGATCTCACCACTATGAATTAGTATCTCACCATTGTGACTTAGTATCTCATATTTATGACTAGCGATCTAATATTTATGACTAGCGATCTCACCACTATGACTTAGTATATCACCACTATGATTTAGTTTCTCACCTTTATGACTAGCGATCTAATATTTATGACTAGCGATCTAATCTTTATGACTCGTGATCTCATCACTATGACTTAGTATATCACACTATGATTTAGTATCTCACCATTTTGACTTAGTATCTAATCTTTATGACTAGTGATCTTACCACTATGACTTAGTATATCACCACTATGATTTAGTATCTCACCATTATGACTTAGTATCTCATATTTATGACTAGTGATCTTACCACTATGACTTAGTATCTCACCATTATGACTAGCGATCTAATATTTATGACTAGCAATCTAATATTTATGACTAGCGATCTCACCACTATGACTTAGTATATCACCACTATGATTTAGTATCTCACCATTATGACTTGCAATCTCAACACTATGACTTAGTATCTCACCATTATGACTAGCAATCTAATATTTATGACTAGCAATCTAATATTTATGACTAGCGATCTCACCACTATGACTTAGTATATCACCACTATGATTTAGTATCTCACCATTATGACTTGCAATCTCAACACTATGACTTAGTATCTCACCATTATGACTAGCGATCTAATATTTATGACTAGCGATCTAATATTTATGACTCGTGATCTCACCACTATGAATTAGTATCTCACCATTGTGACTTAGCATCTCATATTTATGACTAGCGATCTAATATTTATGACTAGCGATCTCACCACTATGACTTAGTATATCACCACTATGATTTACTATCTCACCATTATGACTAGCGATCTCAACACTATGACTCAGTATCTTATCATTATGAATTAGCTATATCATAATTATGACTTGGTATCTCATAATACTGATATACTAAGTCAAAATTAAGAGATAGCCAAGTCATAACTATGAGATTGTTTTTTAACTGAATGGCAGGAATGGGCTTCCATGCAACCCAATGAATAAATAAAGTTATAAAAGCAGTTTCTTCATAATGTGCACATATCTTGGGCGAAGTTCTTTTTTCAAACTGCACATCAAAACTTATATTGAAAGTCATAATGAAACTAAAGTGAACAAATGCTAAAACAGAACAGCATTTAATGAAATTTGTGGTCGACTGGGACTGATGCTACAATAAAATACAAAATGTATTTAGAAAATAAATTTTTGCATGAATTTTGGAAAATATTTTGTAAATATGGCAAAAAAACTTTTTACTGGCAAACTTATTTATCATGGAGTGTGCATTATTATTTTTAATTTCCTCCCTAAATTCTTCATCTTCTGCCTTCAGTTTGGCTTTGGTTTTTACTCCTACTGTCACCTCATGCTCATGCCAATATGATTTTAAGCATTTTTCTTTAATTTAAGCGTTTACTGGAAAATGTTTGGTGGGAATTTGGTTGATCATAAATTCAAAGAAAACATTTTACATGATAAATCATGATATATCTACACTATAACTACTTATAGTTGTGTTTCTGGCAATATTTAGATATTATTATTTACTAAAATCCTGACTGTGACCATTAGATGATCAAATATTAGTCCAGATCTTGACATAAATTATTTACTGTTTTTCACAAACTAGATAATGTGTAGACCAAGTGAAAAAAATGAAACCTCAAATTATAAACTTATTTAAATTGTCGTTGTATAAATTAAAATAAAATGTCAACATGTAAAAATAAAAAATGAGAATAATCTTTTTAGTTGCTCACATTTTTTCAAATATACTAATTATTCATGATTTGCTAAATATTTCATCAGTTAAGTTTTTATCTTCATGCCCAAAATTTTTCTAAGGTTAAAAAATGTGATTTTATTGTGAAGGTATTTCCAAAGTTCCTTTTTTTCTCTTATTTCCTGAACTCAGGGCAAAGACTAGAGACATCAAGTCCCAGCTGGAACCACTGAGACTTTTCTTTGTGAAATCAAATACTTTACTGTCATCACATCTTCATCTTGTTGCAAAAATAACCAAAGTTCAGCAGCATTTATTATAATTTATATGTAAAAAGAGCAGGAGGAGCTGAATTCACAGCTCGTTGAGAACAAAAAGGTGCCTCTGAGATTTAGATAAATTAAGCAAAGCATCCATTAACTGAAGTCAATCTGCAGAAGAGCAGCTGAAGTCAAGTTATTCTGAAAGCTGCAGCTCACACCATCCCATTTACAAAAATATTCACTTTAATTTAAAACAGCCCATTAGCGTGCATTTGGCCTAATAAACTGTGAAATGTCTGCACTCTTCATGGAAGTAGGAACTCATCAGCTAATTAATCTGCAGCCAAGTTAGAAAAGTGAAAAATAAACAGGTTTGGTCTGATAAACGTTCATTTTCTTAAGCGCAGCGACGCATTCAGGGATTATACTCATTTTCTCAATCTTTTGCGTTATAATGGTGATCATTGCTGTGAATGTTTTTTTAAAAAACCTAAATATTAATAAAAATTTACAACATAATGAGACTAATTGCTGGTTCAGAATACCGTTTTGTTCTGTTGTCAAGTAAAATCAGACCTAGCAAATGCTGGTCTTTAGCAAATCTGTAAATTATAGTTTGATATTTAATATATGCACAGACCTGGGACGTAATTTTGGGGGGGGACGGGTGGGACATGTCCCCCCCACTTTTTCAAAAGGCAGTTTCGGTCCCCTTCACTTTTTTCCGTCCAAAAACAATGTTACGCTCCATTAAATGGATTTGGTTGAGCACTAGGACCGAAACGGAAACCGGTTTCCTATTAGACCCGCCCAAAAGCTAATCTATTGGCTCTGCTGATACTTGCTAACGTATTATTGGCTGTTGCTGCTGTCACTCCAAGTAGTAAACAGAACGTGCTCACGTTGTTTTGCTAGTTTGGAGCCGCTAGGGAACACCGGTACTGAGTCACATCGTCAACTAGACGCTGTGTAATATCAGAGCTCAGCTCAGCTTCCATTACACAACATTTGAATAAGTGTTCATTTGTGAGTCTTTGGTAGTTATGCACAGCCAGGCGGCAGCATGTCAAGAAACGAAAGTGGATATAAGAGACTTCTTTCAAAGTCAAAACGTAAGTTGGAACATGTGACAGACCTGCATTAAGCTCAGACACCTCCTCCTTCACAAACATACTCAAAACTAACTTTTACAAACTAATCTCCTCCACATAACTGACTCCTCAGACACAATTTATTCGTATTATTATAATTATTATGTTTTTATTATTACTATTATCATCATAATTATTATTACTAGTAGTAGTAGTAGTAGAAGTGTAACTTCAAAACTTTTATCATTTAACTTTATTGTAAACTTATCTATTGCAATGCATATTTTCACATTAAAAAGCTCTGAAAAATGAACAGTATCATCGTCAACAGATTTTTTTAAGCTTAATGTCAAAGATGTACACTTTTCATTAGATTTATCTTATTTTTTCCATTTATTTTTTGTGTGTTGAAATGCAACAACTGTTTAAACACTTTTAAGGGAAAAAACATATTTAATATGTTTTTATACACTCAAATTGGTAATGAATAATTTACACATATTAATAATAATTGTGAATCATACTAGAACCATGCTGTAAATATTTCTGTTTGTTCCATTCCAAAATCTCCCACTGTTTATAGTTCATGCATCTTTTTTTCAGGTGACTGACAGAGATGCAGGAGGAGAGACCGGTGAAGGTACAGCAGGAGAGGCTGTAGGAGATGGAGGACGAGAGCCTGGAGGAGATGGAGCAGAGGCTGGAGGCTCACAGGTGAGGTTGAAATAATGAAGATACGATAGACATAAAATTGATCATTGTGACAAATGTTAGGGTGATGATCATGTGTAAAACATTAGTTCAGCATGTCCTCTAACACAGCAAATGAAATAACGGCCAGATCTCAGGAGGGACCGTTTATGTATAAATACTTTTTATACTTTTGACTAGGCCTGGGAAAGTAACAAATTTTGCTGGATGATATTTTGTCCAAAAAAATTGTTGATGATAAACAACATCATTGTCAACATTATCTAGACCAAAATAACCACTAATATAATGTTAATATGTCATAATGCAAGTACACCCTTTAAAATGCAACAAATAAACCTTCATTTAACATTGAAATGTCCAGAACCAGAACTTC